GCATTGGAGGCAGTCCACAGAAGGCGGGTAGGTGATTATGAATATGGAGAGATTTTCTTATGTGGAGAAGCTGAGTAGGTTGTGTTCATACTTATTGATGTATAGAATCATGGAGTCATAGAGCACGGAAACAGACCTTCAGTCAAACTCATCCATGCCGACCATGTTTCTCAAACTAAACTAGTCCAATTTGCTTGTGTTGGCCCATATCCCTCTAAACCATTCTCATTCCTGTCCAAATGTACTTTAAATGTTGTAATTATACCTGCCTCTACCACTTTTTCTGGTGATGCATCTGCGTGAAAAAGTTGCCCTTCAGGTCTCTTTAAAAATCTTTCCCCTCTCACTTTAAACATATGCCCTCCAGTTTTGAACTCACTACCCTACCTTTGCTATTCACCTTATCTATGCCTCTTTTGATTTTATAAACCTCTACAAGGTCACCCTGCAACCTCTTATACGCCAGTAAAAAAGGTCCCAGCCTATCCAGCCTCTCCTTCTAACTCAAACTCTCCAGTTCTGGTAACATCCTGGTAAATCTTTTCTGCACCCTTTCCAATTTAACAATATCCTTCCTATAGCACAGTGACCAGAATTGTACGTAGTACTCCGAATGTGACCTCACCAACATCTTGTACAATCGTAATATGGCGTCCCAACTCCTATACTCAATGCTCTGGCCAATGAAGGCAAGAATGCCAAACTTCTTCACCACCCTGTCTACCTATGGCACCAGTTTCAAGGAACTACATACCTACACCTCTAGGTCTCTCTGACAATGCTCTCAGGGTCCTACCATTAACTGTGTAACTCTGCTTTGTCTTACCAAAATGCAACACCTTGCATTTGTCTAAATTAAACTTCATCTGCCACTCCTCAGCCCATTGGTCCAACTGATCAAGACCTGTTGTACTCTTAGATAACCTTCTCCACTGTCCATTATACCATCAATTTCATTGTCATCTACAAACTTACTAGCCATGCTTCCTATATGTTCATCCAAATCGTTCATATAAATGACAAACAACATTGGACCCAGCGCCATTCCTTGTGGAACACTACTAGTCACAGGCCTCCGGTCTGAATAACAAGCCTCTAACACCACCCTCTGTCTTCTACCGACAGGCCAATTTTGTATCCAATTGGCTAGCTCTTCCTGGATCCGATGTGATCTAAATTTACTAAGCAGTCTACCATTCAGAACTTTGTTGAAGCCCTTGAAGTCCATGTAGACAATATCTACCACTCTGCCCTCATCTATCTATCTCAAAAAACTCAATCAAGTTGATGAGACATGATTTCCCATGCACAAAGTCATACTGCCTATCCGTAATCAGTCCTTGCCTTTCCAAATGCATGTAAATCCTGCCTCTCAGAATCCCCACCAACAACATACCCACCACTGACGTCAGACACACCGGTCTACAGTTCCCTGGCTTTTCCTTGCAGTCTTTCTTAAATAGAGGCACAATGTTAGACACCATCCATAAAAGAATGAGATGCAATCTTGTCAAAACTTACAAGATTCTTATGGGTTTGAAAAAATAGATGCAGAGAAGTTTTTTCCCAATGTGCAAGAGTCTCACATCAGACAGCATAATCATAGTGTGAGGGGTTGCTCATATAACACAAAGATGAGGAAGATTTTCATGTCTCAAAGGGTAGAGAATCTACGGATTTTTTTGCCACAGGGGAATGTAAAGGCTGAGTTATTAAGTACGCTCATTACTGAGCTAGACAGATTTTTAATGAGTAAGGGAATAAAGGGTTTTGGACTTCAGTCAGGAAAGTGGAATTGGAGATTATCAGATCAGCCACAATCTCAGTGAATGTCAGAGCAGACTCAATGGGTCAAATGCCCTGATTCTGCATCTTGTAGGGGTGGAATGTTCATTTCTGAAGCTGTGTGAACATGGTTCAAAAAGTGGGAAGGACCTCCACACTGGTCTGGGAAGGTATGTTTTGAGTGATTATGCTCCTTTAAGTTTCTTTCATACACACGCATGGCTGAAACATCACATTTCAGTGGCAGGTGGGCAGAATATTCAGTCCCCCTGCTGTTGAACAGTTTGCAAGCTAAGGGAGATTCTCTTTCCAATGGATGGGAATAGCAGCCAACCCTGAGGGTCCAAGGCAGTCAGGATATAGGTTGCCAAGGCTGTCAGTATCCATGGCACCCAGAGGATGTAATGACACAAGGGAATGAATCTCTTGCGCACTGCCAGCTTGGGTGCCATGGCCTGCTCAGTGCTTCGTGCCCCTTTGAGTGTGGGTTAGTATTGTAAGGCATTGCCACTGCACAAGAATGTCACGTGTAAGAATGGCTGCCAGACACGTCCATAACATTCTCCAACTGCAATCACTGTCATTTTGTTGCACTTATCCGTGTTGTACTATTCCCATTATTATGCTATTGCCTCTCTCTCAGCTGCCAGGGGTCCCACTTCAAACAGAAAATAAGTTACAACACGTAGCAGCTCACACACCCATAGCTCACAGGTCTTTTATCAAAACTCAGTGAACTTACACATTACATAGCATTGCACCAGAGGCTTGCCAGGGACAAGAACAGCACTACAAATGCTGCTGTCAGGAAGAGCCGCCTCACACGAAAATCAGAAACATACATAAAGCTTTATTCATGTCCATCATTGCCAGCCCTTTCACCGCACCTAATTATCTTTCATTCAGGATTTTCTCACACGTTACTTCCTCCATCCCATGTTCTTCCTGCTGGTGTTGCACACGGACACAGCTCTTGGGATTCACATCTCTATCTGTTTCTATCAATGCAGACAAATTGCTCTTAATGCCTCTACTCTCCTGCGGAAGAGAACGTGCATAACCAGCATGTGTGCATGTGCACACAGGAGGCGGATGTGTCCACAGCACTGCAGGAGCAGGCTGCTGAACTGGCAGGAATGTCATGGGACTGCACATGTGTGGAAGGGGAGACTGAGTATCTAAATCCATCCAAGCAGTTACTTCCAGATACCCACTAAGGACTAAAGTCCAAATGAAACTTTGGATTGAGATGGCATCTCACAACACTAACAGATTTTTATGCATATCCCCGTTACCTCCAAATTCCACTCACAATCCAAGGCCTGATCAAAAAGAGCCCCCAGCTCTGGGACTCTCACCAGAGCAGAGATGTTCACCTCAGTGAGTTCTGTATCTAGAGTAGGCTTGGGATCTGACACTTAGAGGTCTGCTAGAGAACAGGTCCCTGCTGAGGTCAGTATAAATGATAAGCTTCTGGGTCAGGCCATTAAGGAGCTGACAGAGAAGCAGAAGTAAGCAAGAGGTAAACGGGGGAACATCAGACAGAGGTGCAGGAGATGATGTGGAGCCTGGAGTGAAGGACAGAGGAGTCTGTTCAATATCTGTTTCATGTTGTCACCATGCAAGCAAATGGTCTCCATGGAGTGGGTGGCCATTGCCATAGAAAGCCAGGTCCAGCAGAACAGTCAGTATCTGCTAGATGTATGCAGAGCCCTTCACTGTGTGAGCCATTGTTCCACCCACTCACTCTCCCTCCCCAACATACCTGACGACCCCATTGTGTTCCCTACATTTGATATGCAGGTCCCAATCTTATTTGTGTCCCTTGTTCCATTACTGTGACTCTTCCCTCTTATCTCAGTTTTCTTGGACCGTTCCAGACTATTTTCTAAATGGGTTTAATTGGCACTCAGGAAGGCAAATGCATTAGTATTAGTACTTTGCGAGGGCTAGAATACAAAAGCAGGGATGCACTGCTGAGGCTGTGTAAGGCTCTGGTCAGACCACATTTGGAATATCGTGAGCAGTTTGGGCCCTGTACCTAAGGAAGGATGTGCTGGCCTTAGAGATGGTCCAGAGGAGGTTCACAAGAATGATCCTGGGAACAAAGGGCTTGTCATACGAGGAGCGGTTGAGGACTCTGGGTCTGTAATCGATGGAGTTTAGCAGGATGAGGGGGCGATCTCGCTGAAACTTACAGAATATTGAGAGGCCTGGATAGAGTGGACATGGAGATAATATTTCCACTAAGAGGACAGACAAGGAACCAAGGGTACAGGCTCAGAGGGAAGAAATGGCCACTTAGAACTGAGATGAGGAGGAATTTCTTCAGCCAGAGGGTGGCAAATCTCTGGGACTCATTGCTGCAGAAGGCTGTGGACACCAAGTCATTGAGTATATTTAAGACAGAGATGTATACGTTCTTGCTTGGTAAGGGGATCATGGGTTCTGGGGGAGAAAGCAGGTGGATGGGGCTGAGAAACATATCAGTCATGATCAAACAGCAGACTTGATGGGCTGAATGGCTTAATTCTGCTCCTATATCTTATGGTCTTATGGATTTTGTTTTGTGACCCTACCATGGGTCTCAAGCCCACCAAAATGGACATCCATGGTGACTGTGGTGCTTAGCCACTCTTGTTCTTATTGCAGAGTCAATGCCAAAATCTAAATGTGGAAAAAAGCCCCAGTCTGCTGAGTTCTGATGGAAAGACAGCACTGCCAGAACTTCAGTTCCAAGGATTTGGCTCTTGTGAAGGCTAGGGCACTTAAATCTCAAACTTTGATGGGCTGAATGTTCTTCAAATGTCCCTGGCTGTTCAATTTTCAGTCATTTAGGTGAAATAGATTTGATGGAGGAAGTCACTAAACAAATTATTTTTGTATATAATACACTTAATTGGTATATTGTATTAAAACAACATGCAAGAATTAGAGTTAACATTTCAGATCCTCAGATCCTTCTGAGAAAGGGTCACTCAACCCGAAACGTTGATTCTGATTTCTCTCCACAGATGCTGCCAGATCTGCTGAGCTTTTGAAGCAATTTCTGTTTTTGTTTCCGATTTTCAGCATCTGCAGTTCTTTCAGTTTTTACGCAAGAATTAACCTATTGCTTCAATGTGAAATTGTAAGTCAACATGCTTCTTTGAAATGCAGTCTTTATCAGCAGCTCAATGAAAAATTATTTCCATTACTGTTGCACTTGGCCCTACCTTTGTGTCTTTTACTACATAAGCATCTGGAGAGTGTTCATATGGTGCACCTATGGTAACGTTATTATACCTGTGAAAATATTTCAAAACATTACACCCTGTTCCAGTTAACTATACCTATGTTCAGTTATTTCATGAGCATCTAAAAACTGTTTCCATGGGCCAAACATTTAGGCTATGATAGAGGTGGGCACAGAGGCAAGAGGGCATGGAATTTCACACCAATGGCCCCAGCTTCCTTCCATCACCACTGCCATTCCATTTTCCTGTTGAGATGGGGGTATAGCAACACTTCCAATCTGCAAGCGAAGGACAGACAATTACACTAATTAAGGCCTGTTAAGCTCTACTGTTGAAGGCCAACTACAATCTTCCAATTGAGTTCCAGGTTCCCAGAGGAGGAGGAGAGCTGGACAGCTCCCTGAAGGTAATTCACTTGGAGCCTTTGAGGTTTTCCCTGCCTGCCTGTGTTCAACTGCAGCCAGAGGTGTCTCTGTGGAAGCCTGCCTTGTGACCAGACTGATAATTCTATTTCCTATTTCAAATTTCATAAGGTTGGAGAGATGGCCATCACTTTCTTGGGACACCCTCCGTCTCACTTAATCTGCATGAGCAGTCAGCCACTGCTTCTGATTTAGTAGCCTCTGATAGATCCTCCGGCTTTGAGCCTGCCCAATGTGTTGTCCTCTGACCAGTTAAGTGAGAATTACAGATGGAAGACTGTTGCTTACACGTAGCTGGGTTTTGAACTCCTGTTGAAATTGGTGGTAGCGTCATAAAGTCCATGTCTCATTATGGTAAAGTAAGCACTACAAAGTGCATGTCTGTATCTTTTTAACAACAAATGTAGCTTATATAGTGCCTTTAACATACTGAATCAACCCTTCACTGGACGATTTGAAACAAAATATGACACTAAACAACATAAGGAGGTATTAGGTCACATGCCCAAAGGTTTGGTCAAAGAGATATGTTTCAAGGAGTGCCTTAAAGGAGGTAAATGGTTTAAGGAGGTAAAGTGTTGTAGGGAGGTCATTCGAGAGCTAGATACCTAGACAACTTAAGTCATGGTCACCAGAGGTAAAGCTGTTAAAACTGAGATGCTCAAAATTCAGAAATAGAGGAATGCAGATATCACAGATAATTGTGCATTGGAGGAGATTACAAAGTTAGGCAGAGGCGAGAACACGGACCATTTTAGCCTGGAGAATTCTCCACCACAGAAGGCTATAGAGGCCAGGGTACTAAATATATTCAAAAGAAGAGATAAATACATTTTTAGACATTAAATGCACCAAGAGGTATGGAGAGAATGTAGGAATTTAGCATTGTGATAGGGGATAAGTTATGACCATATTAAATGGTGGACCAGGCTGCTTCTGCTCCTACTTTCTATGTTTCTATGAAAACAAAGGGTGAGATTTATAAAAACCAAGATGACTCTGGACTGAAGGCCAAAATAGGGCAGCAAAGTTGTGGATGACCTCCAGCTTAGAGAGGATAGAATGTGAGAAACCAGTGGGGAGTCTAGCAGCAACAAAGGCATGATGCAGACTTTCAGCAGCAGATTGAAGGGAGATGTAGGATGTGAGGCAGGATTAAAATAGGATGACGTTACAGTGGAGAAAATAGGCAGTCTTATGGATGGCAGGCAGCTTGTTCTCAAAATGTAGCAGCAGTACATTTGACCCTTGCCTCCCTGACAGAATGAAGGTAATAGGGTTACAATTCCTGATTACCATTTAATGACGTCTACTGTGTACTGCAGCTGGGTTGGCACTGCAAAGGATAACCTAACTGCTCCCCTTCACCTTCCACAGCCAAATAGCCTCCCTATGGTACTGTATCACAACATGAATCAGTTTTTGGTGGAGAGGAGACAAGCAAGGTGGGGAAGAAGGAAGACAATTTTGTAAATAAAGAATTTGCTAAATGCTTTTGATTGTTGCATAATAATTAGCTTTGGAATTTTTACAAAAGGGATCCGTGTGTCACATCTCAATCACCATGAGGCATTAACTTACCCATGAACAAAAACAGAAGTTGCTGGAATAGCTCAGCAGCATCTGTGAAGAAAAGTTAGAGTTAATGTTCAACTCTGATTGTTCTTCACAGATGCTCCCAGACCTGCTGAGCTGTTCCAGCAACTTCTGCTTTTGTTCCTGATTTACAGCTTCCGCAGTTCTTTCAGTTTTTATTAACTTACCCATAGCCAGTTCCTTTTTTTCCAGGATTGGTGTAAAAATTTTTATTTTCCGGAACAAATGGTGGCTTTGGCTTCGCTGTTCCACTGAAGGCTTTGAATGAACCACCGATTGTTCCATAGTAACTTCCCAAGCCAGACCTATAAACGTAGAAGACAATACTGGGTTAAAAAAAAACTTGTAATGTGGCCAAAAGTATCAGTGATCCTGAGGATTGGGACTGTTTCAGAAACCAACAAAGCATCGGCGAGAAATAAAGGAAAGAATAGAAAGCGTGTACACTAACCAGAAGAATGAAAATAGAGGAGGGAAAGAGAAAACAGACTTGCCGCCTGTTAGAATTGTATCAGCCACTGGGAAATTGCTGGAATCTATTATTACACAAAAACTAATGATGCACTTAGAAATATACAGTGTGATCAGATAAACTCAACATGGTCTTACAAAAGGGAAATGGTGCTTGACAAATATGTTTTTTGAGGATATAATCGAATATGAAATGTTTGGATTTCCAAAAAATATTCAATAAGATTCCATACAAAAGATTAGGGGTCAGAGAGTTGGGGTAATAGTTGGGGGAAAATATGAGAATGGTGAAGGACTTGTTACTGGACAGGAATGAGAGAATAGGAAGATTTGTTGTGTTTCTTCACAGAGATTTATTTTTATTAAGGGAAATAGCAGGGAATTATTAGAAGGATTAGCAGGATAATTACCAATCTCTTTGAGCTGTGTCATCAATTCTCCTTCCATGCCCAACCAGTCATGAAGTAGGACCTGAACTTGTAGCTGCTGCTTCAAGGCATGGCATTATCTATTGAATTACAATAAAGTAGGGATAAATGGGCCATTTTCAAGTTGGCAACTGTTAGTGGAGAATAGTAATGGGTAGTGCTCAGGCCTCAGGGTTAAAATCTATAATAATGACCTTACATTAAGTCAGAAAGTAATGTACACATATTTGCTGACTTGCACAACAGGTGACAGTTGTGAGCTTATTTATTATAGTCATTAGAACAGAGGAAAAAATATTTTCCAGAGACTCATACAAGAAAACTGTATGTTAGCATGCAGATAGAGCAAGTAATTACAAAGTCGAATGGCATATTGACCTTTACTGCAAGGGGACGGGGGGGAAAATTAAGAAAATCTTACTACAACTAATTAGGTCTTTGGTGAGATCAGAGCTGGAGTACTCTGTGTAGACTTTATAGTCAAGCAAGGAAAAATACTTTGGAGGTGGTACAGAGAATGTTTGCTAAATTGGCTCCTGGAATGAAAGGCTGAGTACTTTGGGCAGAGTCCATTGTAAGAGATGCCACTTTTATCCTTCACATTGGCCAGTAACACTTGCCATCCTGAAAAGCTGACCTCACAGGGGTGCACTTCTGCAGGGGTCTCCATCAATAGCTGAGGCTCCAGGGCAACCTCCTGTAATCCCAGCAACAGCCATCTTGCCTTCTGGAACTGATGAGCTTTCAGCCTTCTGCTTGGCTGGATGCTCATGGGGTGAAATCTTCTTTTTGAAAGGTCCAAGAATCCCTAAACTGCTGGATTGCAATTTAATTCCATCAAGGTTCCTAGAAATGGCCACAGCAAGATTTCCACTGGCACTTGGACTGATTGGGCTTGGTCATCGCTATAGCCAGTAAACTAATGTCACGTTTTTTCTCTTCAGAATATATTTGTGGAGAAATTTGATAACCTAGCACTCCCAGCCTAGTGGATAAAGTGGAATGGACAATACCAGATGAACACTTTGGAGTTTCTGGAGAAGTGGATATGTCCTGAAACTTGCCTGCCTTTGACCAACTACTGCAGCCCTTTTCAGGATCATTGAACAGACTACTCACAGCATCACAGAATCATAGGATCACTAAAGTGTGGAAAAAGGCTGCTCAACCCATCAGGTCCACCTGACCCTCTGAAGAGCATCCCATTCAGACCCTGCTCCCCATCCCCTGTATCCCTACAATCTCGTGTTTGCCATGGCTAATCCACATAGCCTACACATCCCTGGACACTACAGGGCAATATCGCATGAACAATCCACCTAACCCACACATGTTTGAACTGTGGGAGGAAACCAGATCACCTGGTGGAAACCCATGCAGACATGGGGAGAACATACAAACTCCACACAGACAGTCACCCAAGGCTGGAATCAAATTCAGGTTCCTGGTGCTGTGAGGCAGCAGTGCTAACCGCTGAGCCATGATACTGCCCACTATATCATACTTGACGCCAAGTACAACACTGCAGAGTGTGCACAACACAAACCCTGACCATGGCTGACCAAAACAACTCTGGCATCCTGCAAGCAGCATAGAACACTGGTTTCAAAGCTGAAATAAGGCTTTGAGCAGAAGGGCCTTCTGTGTATTTGAAGTCCACTTGGAAATTAAATTAGGTGGGCCTTGGACATGCAACATGCAGCCAGATTTTGTGCAAAAATCCTTTTCACAGACTAATGCTCAGATTTTAAGTGTCTATAGAGCAATGAAAATCATCCCAATGGTGTCAGCAGCAAGCACACTCCCACATCACACACTGTGTAGCTAGTTAAGGATTAAATATCCTTCACTGTGGCCAACAAGAAATTAGGCTAAATATTGGGCCACAGTCCAAATTTCAGAAAAACTCAAAATAAATGTCCCTTTCCTTTGGACACCCCTGTGTACAGTGTTTCTTGCTGAGTTAGCTAATTTGAACCTGTTTCCAACAACATTGACAAGCAACTCTTTACTGTGACTCACCAGCTAATGAAACACAAGATAAACACATAATGGAGCAAGGAATAGTAGGTGGGTTTGCTAACAAAGTTAGAAAGGGGAAGTTGAGATGAGGTGCGTGTGAAGCTAAACATTGACATGGACCAGATGAATTTAATGGTCAGTTTGTAATGATACGAAAAGTAACATTTTGATCACCGGGAACTTACCATTTCTTCGGAGTCTGACTCGGAAAGAAAACTCCAGCGAGGTTTTTTTGAGCTGCCTTCAATTTCGCTTGTCTTCTTAATTTAACCCGATCAGAATAGGCTTCCTTTTCGAAAATACGCATAAATTCACGATCAAAGTATCCTGCCTGATTGGCTGCCTTCTTTTTTGAGCCTTCCACCAACAATTGTTTGCCTTTGTAAGCCTCCTCATTGAAAGGTTCTTAAAACGGACAAAAGAAAGCAGCACATTCATTCTATTTACCATTGATGGCTGAAAACAAACACTTAAGAAAATATAGTATCAAGTGAAATTAGCATGTCCCTGCAACACCTCAAAGCACTTGACGCAACAAATAAGTGTTATGTAGAAAAAATAGAACAGCATCTTAAAAACAGTCATGAACATCTTGAATATATTGATTGATTGATTGAATGATTTATTGTCACGTGTACCGAAATACAGTGAAAAGCTTTGTTTGCGAGCAGTACAGGCAGATCACAGCAAGCTAAGGATGTACAGATCAAAAAGACTTAGAGGCATACAGGTTATATTGCAGGTTACATTATTTGAGGCTAGAGTACATTTAACAGTCTGATAACGGCAGGAAATAAGCTGTTCCTTAAACTACTCGTGCGTGTTCGGGCTTCTGTATCTTCTGCCTGACAGAAGCGGTAGGAGATCATTACCGGGATGTGATGGGTCTTTGATGATGTTGGCCGCCTATCCACAGCAGCGAGCTACGTAAACAGAGTCCATGGATGGAAGGTTGGCTTTCATGATGGTCTGGGCTGTGCACACCACCTTCTGTAGTTTCTTACGGTCCAAGGCAGAGCAGTTGCCATACCAGGCCATTATGCACCCGGACAGTATGCTTTCAGTGGTGCATCTGTAAAAGTTGGTGAGGGACCTTATGGACATGTTAAATTTCCTGAGCCACCTGAGGAAGAAGAGGCATTGTTGTGCCTTCTTGACCGTCTCATTTATGTGGGAAGTCCAGGACAGGTTGTCGGTTATCGTCACTCCAAGGAACTTGACACTCTCCACCCTCTCAACCTAAGTTCTGTTGATGTAGGCGGGGGCATGTTCTCCTCCTTTCTTTCCGAAGTCGATGATCAGTTTTTAGTTCTGCTGTTGTTGAGATGCAGATAGTTTTCATTGCACCACGTCACCAAGCCTTCTATCTCCCTTTTGTATTCTGACTCGTTGTTGTTAGATATCCGTCCCACTATGGTGGTGTCGTCAGCGAACTTGTAGATGGTGTTCATTCAGAATTTGGCAACTTGGTCTTAGGTGTACAGGGAGTACAGTACGGGGCTGAGGACACATCCCTGGGGGATCTCCAGTGTTGAGCGTTATTGTGGAGGAGGTGCAGTTACCTATCTTCACTGATTGAGGCCTGTGGGTCAGAAAGCTGAGGATCCAGTTGCAGGGGGTGGAGACGAGATCAAGAGTCATGCAGTTTTGAGATCAGTCTGGAGGGGATAATGGTGTTGAAGGTGGAGCTGTAGTTGACGAGCAGCAATCTGTCTTTGTTGTCCAGATGTTCCAGGGATGAGTGCAGGGCTAGCGATATGGAATCCTCTGTGGACCTGTTATGTCAGAAGGCAAATTGTACGGAATCGAGGCAAGTTAGGAGACTGGAGGTGATCAGCCTCTGATTATTGAAGTCAGAGCTATTGGGCAGTAGTCATTAAGGCACACTGCATGTGTTTTCTTGGGTACAGGGATCATGGTGGTCTTCCTGAAGCAGGTGGGGTCTTTGGCCTGTCGGAGGGAGAGATTGAAGATGTCGATGGGTACTTCCACCAGTTGGTCCACACAGGATCTGAGTGCTTAGCTGGAGACACCATCCAGGCCCGTTAGTGAAGAAAATGAACAGGTGCCATTTATCGTCTGCCAGTCAAAAGAGTGATTAGGTTTGCACTGCTTAAAGACACACCTAGATTCTTCTCGCTGATGATTTATGCCTTGTTTTATGTTTTCCTCTCCATGTCCTGCAACCTCAGAACAGTGCACAATTTATTTATAGCTTAAACAGAGTGCGATGGTACAAAAGATATTCTAAACATGCTGTTGTTATAGGATTTCTATACTTTCTGACACCCAGTGTATTCTGCCAGTGGCATTATTTACACAAGTATTCACTACTCCAGCGACAAACATGGTTGGATAATGTCATCAATGGGAGAGGAAAACTCTGAGTAAATCAAACTTAAAGTGATGTGTTCCAGATTAAGGAGCTAAAATTTAGAAAGTTTCTGGAGAGCAGGATTTCAACCAATCAGTCCTAGTCTGGAGAGGATGAGAATCAAGAGGAAGCAGGATAGGAGGAAGGAAATGGATCCAGCAGTATAGGGATAAATTTGCAGACAGATCACAGTACAGCCCAACACTTATCCTCTTTGTTCATGGGTGTATCATTCAAAGAGAATCTGCATGAGGTGTGGTTGAGGAACAATTATCCAGTGTGCCACTCTAAAGTACTGTACAACAGAAAAACAGAGCAAATGCTGGAAATTCAAATTGAAAAAGTCGCAAATACCGCGCAACTCAGGCATCCACTGCAGAGAAAGAAACAGAGTTTCCCCACCTGCACAGAGCATTTAGAATAGTGGAAGGGGGTATTTAATTGGGACGGAGACCAAAAGGTTGATTCCCAGGGTTGGGTTGAAATCCTTGGTATTAAGTCCTCGGAACCTTTCAAGCAGGTTAACCTGTTGGGAATCTCTTTTATATTTGTTGACATCCACGAATATTCATTAACAGCACAGCCACTGTTACTATATTCACCAGCACATTCTTGTGAGGCAACGGTTTCTTCACAAACTGGATATACATGACACATGTATGTGTCAAGGGAGACTTCTTCCTGGAAACTTTGGTGAGTAGCTTCCTCAGTAGTTACCCAAGTGAGTCTGCCATAATGGCTGACACCAGCAAACCTGAATGAGGCAGGCATGAGGGACACAAAACATAAAGGGTGTGACACAAAAGGGAGCTCAACAGAAAAGCAGTTCAACAGACAGGTCTCAGCTTAAGGTGGGAGATACGGCAAGAATAAACCCTTAAGGGTTTGATTGTTAGGGATGCCAGAAGGATCTTGGAAAATTGATGTAGATAACTGGGAGTCAGCAGGGAGAGTCAAAGGGACCAAGAAGTGTGGAGTTCCATACTGAGAGTGGGGAACACAATAGGGTGTGCTGGTGAGCAAGAAGGAACAGGGAGGTTGAATAAGGAGCAATTCAAGGCTAAGTTTGGGCATGGGGAGCTGGATGGGTATGGTTTCTGGGCAAAGCTCAGGAAGGCCCTCGGATATAATGAATATGGAAAATAGAAGCATGACAGGGCAGTAATGGCAGAGGAAAGAACACCACCTACAGCAATGGGGGTTGGAATAGTGTGTAGGTTACAAGGGGAGAATTCAGCGAGAAGGAATCAAAATAAAAATTTACTTGCACCATTCTGGTTTTTTTATTTGGTCGATATAGAGTCCCTCGCTAAAATATACAGTAGAAATGGGAGGGGTCTGAGTGTCGTTTACACAAGCACCTGATCAGCTCAAACACCCAAACATGTGTCTGATGACAGAAACCAAAAAAAAAAATCACAAATGCTCTCAGTCAAGGTCTAAACACTACTACAGCATAAAGCTTAATAGGCTCTTGACACTCATAACACCAACCTCCCAATCAGATACCATAATGTACTGAGCTCTAAGTTAAAGGACAATTCACACCAATCAACATTAGTGGTGGTGGTGATAGGTGTTCTATTCACTATCACAGGAAGAGGTGAAGGTGAATGAATGCCTATCACCAGAAACCCCATGGCTCAGGGGTCCAAGGTTTTAGCTGTAGAGCGCTTGAAGAGGGGAACCAGGGTCTTCTGCACCATCGAGCAGTGCACTGCAAAAGGGTGCACCAAAGTTGTTGTAGTTGTCCTCAGATGAGTGAAACTCACTGGGGACCCCTTCACAGATGAAGTTGTAACCTCCTTGGCTTAAAATGATGGCCCCTGGCAGAGAGGAGGGAGACAAGCTATGGAGTGTCCTGAGATGGCAATCCCTGGCTGTTGATCTTCCACCTGCTGACAGAGTATAATTGCACCTCCTTTATTCCATTGAGGAGATGGGGCAATTGGAGTTAGGTCAGGGCACCTTGGCTCCCTCTCTGTTAGCCATTCTTGACTCAAGTGATGGACTGAAGGTGCCTGCAAGTACTGATTGATCTACTTCACCAGGTCATCCATGATGGCCACCACGCATCCATATGCCAGAGTCATGAAATCAGACAGAACTTGGATAGATTCCTCAGCTCTTCCCTCCAGTCTGTGGATGATCTCTGGTACATCTCCCAACAGTTCCTCTGCTTGACTCTGCATTTTCATCAGTTCATTGCTGACTAGTCCAGAGGCTCAGCATGTGCACTGGGCTCAGCAGGGGCCTGTTCTCCAGCAGACCTCCAAGAGTCAGTGACCTAACTGTAACTCCTGCCGGTCCATATCAGCACTGCGTTCACCTGAATGTAAATGTCCCTGCGCCTACTTCTGACGGATCATCCACTGAAGTAAACAGCTCTGCACTACTGGAAGGTGCATCCTTTAATGGTGCTGACTTTTCTTCCTCAGACATCATTGCTGGAGATAAGCCAGGAACATTTTTTCTCCTGATTTGGGACTGGGATCTGAAGGTTGCATAGAAAAGCATAAAATTTGTTAAGGTGGCAAGTTGCCACCCTTCCTCAAGATGTTTTAAAGACATTGCTGTTTCGTGTGTGCAAGTAGGAGCTGCAGAGTGGAGAGTTCTTACCAGCAAGATGTATCTATCCAATCTTCCCTTCTCTTCAGGGTGGATGGGAGCAAGCAGCAGAGGTTGAGTGATGCTCTTTGGTGGCAGACAGTGATGTGCTGTCCCGGTGACTTTTAAATAGGATGCCTGGTAGTGGAGCCTTGGAAGTCCCAGTGATCTTCAGAACTTCCTGCACACAAGATTTGACATTCTGCTCATTCGTATACATGCAATAAGCTGAGAGGGACGTAGCCAAATGAGTCACCTAGGGATGGGCAATGATGTTTCCTTCCCTAAATGACATTAGTGAATCAGATAGGTTTCTCCCCCCTGACAATTGACAACAAGTTTCATGGTCATCATTCGACTTTTATTTAATTCAAATTCCACCATCTGCTGTGTTGGGATTCGAACCCACGTCCCCAAAACATTACATTAGTCTCCAGATTACAAATCTAGCAATAATACCACTTGACTATCAATGACCCCCAGGTTAACAATACTAACAAACATAAAAAACATATCACAAATTAAAAGGGGCCATTCAACCCACTCAAGGCTAATCTGCATTTGATAAATCATAGCTCATCTGATTGCAGCTGCAAATCTACTTTCCTATCAACCCTAAAACCCAACACAGACTTAAAAATATTGAATTATCACTTTGTGGGAAACAGAAATTCCACAGACCAACAATGAACAGTGAGAAAAATATTATGTTTATCTTTGTCTTTGTCTTAAATGGAAGACCTCTTGTTTTTCAACCATGTCCCTTGGTTCGAATCTCTCACATTCAAGATGCATGCACAATGGGCCCAATGACTTTAGGAATGGGACCAAAGCTGGCACCAACTCGGCACAGTCAGAGTCAGTGCTAAACCTCCATGGTTTTTGCTCATCATTTGCCCAAAATATGCAGAAATTCTGCATTATGAAGTGAAAGGTTGCTGTGATAAATTGTGTCATATTTTTCTTAAAAGTTAATCTGCGAGTGCTGAACGTGTTATTAAAACTGTTTTCTGGCTGTTGCTAAAAGGGTACGAACAAAACACCTAATTCCAATAAAATTTGACTTCTCACTTCTGAATCGTGACACCTTATCACCCTTAGTTAGAAATACAAGCTTACTTGGCATCTCATCGACGTACGGATCTTGAACCGAGATATAGCTCATCTCCTGAAACAGGCCGATCCTTTCCATGTCTGTTTTTCCCGAGTCCCCAGGCATGATTTCGTTTGGGTGTAAAAATCGAGAGTGTCACCGATAGTTACTGCAAGTCACTGGAGAAAAGTCTAGGAGTCACTCAAAGCGGCAAATCCTAAAGAGGATGAAGAAGGATTAATTAAGATGCCCAACAATTGTTCGTGGTCTTTAATAATGTCTGTCCTACGTTTCAGAAATGTATTGGTTTTTTCTTCTCTTGGCCTTTCAAAAAGCTTTATATCTGCCTTGAAATGAAAACTAGTTTCACGCGCGGCACCTCCCCTGCACTTGGCTAGTGTTTATAGAATCTTATCACCTTGGAGACGTATAACCAATTTCATAACAGCCGCGTCTCGGGGTGGGGGGGGTTGTAACAAAACTAGACACGATATTCTCACATAATGTTACGGTTTTTACACTGTGTAGTTATTTAAAATGAAGTACTTCACTATAAGTAAGTTAGTTGTAATATTACTATTAACAGAGATGCATCTATCCCACATTAATACATGGTAACATATCTTCCCCCCCCCCCCCCCCCCCTTTGGTTGCCTCCAGGGGTTCCCCGTACCAACCGCAAACCCATATTGGGGAGTGGGTTACCCCCCCCCTTTGCACCCAAATCATTCCCAAGTCAGTTATGAGGAAGGCAGGTATAAAAGGAGTTTTGGTATAACAAAGAACTGCGGATGCAGTTTCTGAAACAAAACCAGAAATTGCTGCAGAATCTCAGCAGGTCTGGCAACATCTGCGGAAAGAAAGGAGAGTTAACGTTTCAGGTCCAGTGAACAGCAGGCAATGATGAATAGGAAAACACCGCTAGGTTACAGAGTTGTAATGATGTAGGATCCGCAGCAGATTTGCATGAGACCCAAGGTCAATTCAAGGGCAACCTGCTTGAATTGTCCATGAGTCCCCCAGAAAGGGGAGTAGCTTAACCAGGCCTACAGCTCAAGTGATTCTAGTATTTTACCTCTCCCTACCAGTGTAGCCTCCAGAGATAGTAGGAACTGCAGATGCTGGAGAATCCGAGACAACAAGGTGCAGGGCTGGATGAACACAGCAGGCCAAGCAGCATCATAGGAGCAGAGAGGCTGACGTTTCGGGCCTAGACCCTTCATCAGAAAAGGGGGAGGGGAAGGGGGTTTTGAAATAAATAGGGAGAGAGTGGGAGGCGGATAGAAGAGGGATAGAGGAGAGGATAGGTGGAGAGGAAACAAACAGGTCGAAGAGGCGGGGATGGGGCCAGGAAAGGTGAGTGTAGGTAGGGAGTTAGGAAGGGGATAGGTCAGTCCAGGGAGGACGGACAGGTCAAGGGGGCGGGATGAGGTTGGTCGGTAGGAGATGGAGGTGCGGCTTGGGGTGGGAGGAGGGGATAGGTGGGAGGAAGAACAGGTTAGGGAGGCAGGGACGAGTTGGACTGGTTTTGGGATGCGGTGGGGGGAGGGGAGATTTTGAAACTTGTGAAATCCACATTGATACCATT